ATCGGTATTCCATGGGGTATCTTCCAGACCCTGACTGTCACCTACGCCTCCGAGGTCTGCCCCACACATCTGCGAGCCTACCTTGTGAGTCCCAATATTCCCGCCAGATCCCCTTTTGGGCTAATCGCTAATTCTCTATTCAGACTACCTATGTCAACCTCTGCTGGGTCATTGGTCAACTCATTGCCAGCGGTGTCCTTCGCGGCGTCATCACCCGTACCGACGAGTGGGGATACAAGATTCCCTTTGCCCTTCAGTGGATGTGGCCCGTCCCCCTCATCATCGGCATCTTCTTTGCTCCCGAATCTCCCTGGTGGCTCATCCGCAAGGAGCGCCTCGACGACGCCAAGAAGTCTCTCATCCGCCTCACCAGCCGCAACCAACAGCAAAACTTCAACGCCGACGAGACCATTTCCATGATGGTCCACACCAACGAGCTCGAGAAGGCCGCGCAGAGTGGAACAAGCTACATTGACTGCTTCAAGGGCACCGACCTTCGCCGTACCGAGATCGTCTGCGTCACATGGGCCATTCAGACTCTTTGCGGCTCGACGTTCATGGGATACTCGACATACTTCTACCAGCAAGCCGGCATGGCAAAGGAGAACGCATTCACCATGTCCTTGGCCCAGTACGCTCTCGGCGCCCTCGGCACAGTCTTCTCCTGGTTCCTGATGCAGCACTTTGGCAGACGCACTCTCTACCTTTCTGGCCAGGGCATCATGTGCGCCATTCTCGCATCCATTGGCTTCGCCTCCTTGGCTGGAAAGTCCAACGTCGCCGCACAGTGGGCCATCGGCAGCTTGCTCCTCGTCTATACCTTCATGTACGACTGCACTGTCGGCCCCGTCTGCTACTCTCTCGTCTCTGAACTGAGCTCGACCCGCCTGAGAACCAAGACTGTCGTGCTCGCGCGTAACCTGTACAACATCACCGGAATCACGACCAACATCTTGACCCCGCTGATGCTCAACCCTTCTGCGTGGAACTGGGGCGCCAAGAGCGGTTTCTTCTGGGCCGTCAGCTGTGCCATCTGCTTCGTCTGGACCTGGTTCCGTCTGCCTGAGCCTAGAGGCCGCACCTATGGCGAGCTCGAGATTCTCTTTGATCAGCGCATTCCGGCACGCAAGTTCAGGAAGACCGAGATTGCTGGCCTCACTCACGGAGCTCAGTCCACTGACAGAATTTCCGAGAAGGAGTCCATGGCGGCCGTCAGCCAGATTGAGAAGACTGCCTCAGCATAGAAGACTTTGAGAAACTGAAGGAGAAGGATGGATTATTTCGGGATTAGTTCAAGTATACCATTGGATCAGAGAAGGGTTTGGATTTTCAGCAGCAAGCATTTTGCACACATATCGTCTTTAGATTTTTTGTCAAAGATTAATCTCATAAATTTCGTTACTCGATCATTCTACATTCGTCTTATTGTGTCCAGACTGTGAATGGCTCCCCGCGACGAGTAATTACTTGCTAACTGGGGAGATCTTCAGATGATGGATTTAACATGAGATAACTCACCCATGTGATGACTCACCGATGTCAATAGTCACCTAAGCTATGAGTCTGTGTGGAATGCCCCCAACTTTTATTTTTCAACGTACCAGACTGCTTACCTGCTGTATAGCAAGGTCGAACTCGAAGAAGTTGCGACCAGCAAAAGAGAAAAGCCATCATTCATTGGACTCAGTATTCAGCGATCGCTCTCTCCGAGCTCCGGGAAGCGGGGCGGCGGATGAGAACCGGGATCGCCCGGCTGCCTAACGTGTCCGGGCATTCTAAGCCGGCCGGCGTAGCCCTATGGCTCGGTGTATCTTGCCGCGACAAGGTCCAATCGGACCAGATTCATACTAGTAATCGGAGTCCATCTCCGTGACAGGGACATGAGAAACCTTTCTTGAATGCGCTGCAAATTCCTGTCGCCTAGGATGGAATCCTAGACTAGAACTTTGGGTGACTCATTCTCTTTTCTTTCTAGGTTCCACTGTAGGACTTATGAAAACTTAAGGTAGGCAGCACACTCCTCCTATAAGACCCGGGTACAACTTCTAGGAAGCCTTCTCCAAAGGATTCAGGATGTGGCTGGTGCAGGCAATTACAAAGCTTACCTAGCCGTGAGGATTTGTGTGCCAAGACGCCAGAGCTTCCGAAAGCCGTTGCCTAATTAATTACTACCTCCACAGTGGACAGGGCTGAAGTCGCTAGATTGAGGGTCCCATCCCCTGAAATCAAAGCGTCTCATGGCCCTAATTCTCAACATCGAAGGTCGAGATGGAGGGGGCGTCATGTCTATTGCAGTCATGGTTCGTCTGTTCCACGACTTTGAGCTGTCAGACAGGTGTCTATTCCCAGAGCCAACAAGTGATCCATGGTGGCTTGTCTATTGATAGATGGTTTAAGCTTAAAATCTGTTGGAGAGACATGGTCCCCTGCTGCCAGTGGTGGTGGTCCCATTGGACGCAGCTTGGTGGCTTACACCGGTAAAGCCAACCACAAGCCCAAACCCCGAAGATAATGAACAAACTTGAGAAGTCTTTGTCTGTGATGATTTTGGTAAAGATTGTAGTCGCTGTGAACCGGCGTGAAACGTTTTACTTTGCAACTATACGGTAAACTTCAGTTCTTTGTCTGAATGAAGGAAGTATTTGCCATTTGGCCGAGTCCCACTTCGAGCAGTCACAAGTCATCTTGGACAGCCCCTCGACTCCTGCTTGAAACTCACGACATCGCTTAGTCGTGATGCTATCGTCAACAACCCCCGAGGGCAAGAGTAACTGGACTCTCGAGCCATTGCACCCGCCTATTCAAGAAGAGGACTGCGATAGCTCTCGCCCAATTAAGAAAAATGAATCATAAACAAACCCGCCATGGATTTCCTGGGCGAAGCTACCTAGGTAGCAAGCCTCCCCTGCAATGAAACCAACGATCCTCTTCTTCCACCCATCACCACCCCCAAGCCATCCACCCTCGCACAACCTTCGCTGCGCCACGTAGCACAGGGATCCCCATCCGCAAACACCAAGACAATTATTCTTTTCTCCCCATCTCGCTTGTGGCCGTTACCCGTCTGTGTGGGGGAGAGGAATATAAGAAGCGCCCACCATGCCTCACCCTTCGCAGCTCATCTTCCCCCCGCCTCCCGGCACCGATCCTGCTCTTCTCTACTTTGGTGGTTGGCCCGAGATCACCTACCGCACAACCCTCGAGCCCAGCGACCTCACCTCCGACTCGGACGACGAGCTTGAGCCCCTTCTCGGCCTCACCAACAGCGAGATCATGGCCTACGGCGATCAGCAGGGCGCTGCCGCTGGTGGTGGTACTACCGCCGGCCAGAGCAGCATCCAGAATCGCATGTGCCCCAACATGCGTACTTGCTGGGCATTCTCCTGGGAGTCGTACAACCTGAAAACCTCCGACAAGGCTGTGCTCCTTCGACGTATCTGCATGATCATTATTCTCGGTATTCGGACCGCCATCACCATCATCGGCATCGTCCACGACGTTACCCACGCTCAGATCGTCAGTCTGATTCTCGACATTATTCTCGGAATCTTGGGATTCTTGTTCATCGCCTGGGCCCTTGCCGTCATCGGTCAGGCCGAGGGTCGCCGCAAGGTTTTGGGCGTCATGGTTGTAAGTACTTGTCTGAGATGAGGTGGGGTCTGGTGAGATGAGAGGACCACAGCTAATGAGCTTTTGTTTTTTTCCCAGGGTCGCTGGCACTTCGATATCTTCCTGCTCGTCACCGCCTTCATTCACGCCGCCATCCTCGTCGGCAGCATTATCGGCTTTAGCAACGGCGGCCGTTACGCTACCTGGCTCATCATGTGGCTTCTCATCTTCGGCGTCGCCTGGGTCGCTACCTGGCCCGCCGAGGCCGAGAGCTACGCCTAGTCGAGCAGCATAGCATTGCCACGATGGCGTTTTCTTTGAGTGACACGTTCGAAATGATTCGCCAGTTCAGGAGTTACAAGTCGCGTGATGAAATTGGGCTGGATCGAAGAAGCAGGAACTTCGGGCGTTACAATACTGATATGGAAGGGCAAGGACGGGAGGGAGGCCCATGAAAACTGATGCTTCACTCTGGAATTCGCGATACCCTAGCATAGGTAGCTGAGACTTGCTGAATTGCGTGAGCAATATGACTTCGTCTGGCTGAATGAGATCAAATGAGACACCAAGTGCTTTCATGAGCCTCGTGAACGCATCGCAATGAACAATGGCTGCACTGTGGGTCAGTCCGACTTCTGCCTCATGGAATCAAGCTAGAGCTTCCTGGACATATGTATGAAATGAGAGCCACGCGCATCAGACCTCGAGGTGGATGAGACAGAACCAGGTGCTGCGTGCTCCCTCTTGACCGCTCTGGATGCGCTCTGGCTGAGCCAAATCCGGGCGAGGTAAGCTTCAGGCTGCCCTAAGTCTCATCGCGCAAGGTGTATGAGTGACCCGAAATGCATCGAGTCCTTGAATCGCTCATCGTCGCGTCGATTCGCTGGCGCGGTTCCGGAGCGGGCTCCGGAGCTGCTGTATCTGTCGGCGGTGAAGCGGGTCTCGCCCCACGTGATGCTTGGTGGTGTCCGATCGGTGGTTTGAGCGAGTTCTGTTGCGGCAGGCGATCTCATTTAATGAGGTGTACTGAGTTACTCCAGTTCTCCAATCGCTTGAAAGTGAGTTTGGGGCGATTCAATCACGTCTCCTCACTCCTGCAAGAATATCGCGCCAATCGAAGCATCTTGTTGAGGCTGCTGCCGATCCAATGTGGCATCTCAGAGATTGACGACTCACTAGACGGTCCGCAATGTTGTGGAACAATCACAAAATGAGGCTGCTGCGAATTGGGGGAATAAGCTCTTTTTGAATTCGCTCTCAGGGAGTATCGCATGCAATCGTGGAAATGAAAGACAACTTGGACAGATAGACAGACCGACCGACCCTTATTGAACCCCAAAAGAAAAAGAAGGAAAAGTCCGAGGGCTACCCAAAGAGGCGGTTGGCCCCGCTCATTTGTAGCCCAGTCTCTCCAGAATAGATTGACCAGCGGGAGCACCGCCTTGTCCCTTTCTCAGGCCGGCGTCGACACCCTTGACGTAGTCAAGAACGCGGATGTGTTCCTTCTTAAGCTCCTCGAAGTCGTGGGACAGCTGCTCGTGCCATGGGTACAGGACGAAGACCTGGAAGCCGAGGGCCGACGAAGCGACGAGGAAGTTGGTGAGAGAGATGGCTCGCGTGATGAGGACCATTGTTGCGGTTTGTTTGTTGGTGTTTACGTGCGTATTGAGTGTTGTTGACTCTCACTTCTTTGTTGCGAAGTGTTCGGTTTGCTCGGAATCTGGAGTCACGCGAGCCTGGTCAGCGAATGCGACTGCGACCTCGCGGGGTATCTTGGCCCGAGCGAGAATTAGGTAGGATGATCACGGCTTACTTGGCTTTATGATTCTGCAGATGTAATGGCCTGGATCTATACGTGGTCGATCTGTCGGAAAAAGAAAAGGCAAAGAGAGAGGAACTTGGTCTATTGAGGAAGAAACACGATTAAGGACAAAAAGAAAAAGTGTGGTGTAGAAGAGGAAGTTCGACGATTGACGGCAAGGAAACGGGCAGAAATTATTATTCGAGAGGCAACCCGGGGATGATACCTGAAAGACCCTTTTGGGACAATGGGAACCTCCCCAGGTGATTACCTCACCGACAGCGGCCCGGCGGCAAGGTGGGACCTCCGACGAGCACGCTCGGACTTGGACGGGTTGGTTGGCTCCCACGACATGGAGGGAGGCACAGGGCTTGTGAAAGGATCACGCCGAGTAACACGAGCAACACATATTATGGTACATCCGCCTGCCGAGTACCTTACGTGGGGGGCGTTCATGTAAGTTAGTTGTAACTGTAACTTTCTTGCTCGTTCTCGTCACTGGCCTGAGCCTTGAACATGACCTCGAATAGCGCCAACAACCAGCACCAAGAGGAGAAGAAGAACTGCAAAGCAATGGCTGGCCAGGCGTATCAAGCGTATCCGAATGCTCGGCAACCATGTCTAGGTACCGCAAAATCGCAAACGAGAGCATGTCAAGTGACGGCTGGAAGCCCCGAGAAAGGAGGGAATAATTCAAGGCGGATGGGGTCGAGGTGGCCTGACTTTTATGGAGCCCGTCTTTGCCGTCAGAACTGCCTAATGAAAACTAGAGAACTTCCCGGGGTGGAGCCGGGAGACCGAGGGCCCAAAACCAACGGGCCTCTCCGACTGGCTTGCGGCGTCCAACGCCCTTCTCTCGCACAACGCAGTCCTGCAGCTTGCCTCCATGGGCCCTATCCGCTAGACAGAAACATGGAGTGAGAATGTGACCTCGAGCTTATACCCCTGGTCCTTTGGCTTCTTTGTTTAGTTCAGCCGGGAACATTTTTGAGGATTCGATGGGGTTCGTCGGGGGCAGGAAACATGCGTCTGCAGGGGATGAATGACGCATGTGAAAGTCTTCCTAGGTGTGAACGAGCCAACTGCGACGAAAATTCGCCCGCAGAGGCCACTGAAAGCAATCTCACTACTAATAAGTACAAAAAGTGGTTACGATAAGTCACATTGGTCGCGTTTGACTTTGATAATCTGGCCAGGTGATGAGTAATGCTTCTCTATTCAATTCATCTACATCGGAACACACTTACACAACAGAACCACCAATGATCCGCTGCTTGAGATCTTTCAGTTGCCCAGACGGAAGGGTGTCGCGGAGCCCTAATGCCATCTCAACCTGACACGGCTTCACAGGAAAGACTCCAGTTACGCAGTAAGGACCAAAGGAAGGCTCAGTAAATAAGCCGGGCTGAAGATCACCCAGCGCTATCCCCAGAGTCCGTCGACCTTTGAGCCGTTGAGGAATCGAACCAGCTGTTTGCCCCGCATACCGCAGGCCCGGGTCGACGCCGGTAGCGAGAGCTGGAGCGGGGCACATCAGTTCGGGCTGCCACGTGTTGGTGGAGCATTGCCTTTCCGATGCTGGGCCCACCGCCGCCGCCCTTTCGATTTGGATCACTACATGTCTTCTCGGACAGTCGAGGGCTTCGTGATCGAGTTCCATCTCTTGATGCACTGGTTTTGGTTTGGGGAATGAAGAATTAGAGACCAGACTCTTTGTTTCGACAGCCTAAGTCTTGCCATCCGCCATGCCTTGATAATTTATGTTGAGAGCCCTTTGGGTTCTTGACTTCACCAACAAGTTGTCAAAGGTTGCTGGTGTCAGCGCTCGATAGAGACTGAGCGGAAATCGCCGAAATCGACTTGAACTTTATCATGAACTCCAGATATGTTACGAGCACTGCTATAGAAGTTGACTTGTATTATCCGGAGTTAGGTTCAGGATTCTGTTTGGGGACTCAATACATGTATGGACTTTAGTCTCAAGGGTTTACTACAGGCCAGCATGTGTCTGTCAATGATGATTCATAGCACAGAATTCACGGGAATGATTTTAGTATCATGAGCTTTCTAGTTCAATGTTGATGTATCAGAAGACGAAAGTATGTGATCGCGCAATGATCAGGAAACACATCTCGGAAGCCCAAGTCCAGCGCGCCTTCCGCAGGATGTCATCCAATTGCCGAGGTGCAACCTTTCGTGTGATTTGGCATGATACAGATTTTCTCAGACTTTTGAGTAGCTCTGGCTTTCTCAGACCTTTAGCTGACTTGAGCTGGACGAGCCGACAAGTGACAACTTTCCGTCGATTTGACAAACGCAAGTGTAAATGCGTTTTTGATAGCCTTTGTTTTCCCGCAGATCCTGATAACAGGATAGCTGAGTAAAATTGGAAGCGGAAGTTGAACCCGCTTACTTTGCAAACAAATGCGGAAATCGATTGACTTTCCCACCTGCTAATCGCATGTCTGGTCTTCCCTGAACACCTGGTTACACTCAACTCTGAACGCTCAATGAATTGCAAGTCTTAGATGTTACTTGTGAGACGTTTGACTGAACAGTTCTCTCATTTCGCATATTCCGAGGAAAGCGAAGAGAATATGTTTCGAGGAACTCCATGTGCTTGGTGAATCAAAAAGTGTATGTCTAACATGATCGGAGGTTGATGAATGCAGACTTGATATGCGAACCTGATGAGAAAATGGCCGAGGAATCGAGTAGAAAGGCTTGGCTGTAGTACTTGATAGAAAGTCGCCTATTAATGCTTCCGACTGCATGATACAGATAGGACTTGCTTCTCTAATGCTGTTATTGTCTGTTGCGTTTGTCGCGACATAGCAGGGAAGGATTGCGCGAAGTGGCTCTGGCAAGCATCCATCAATCACGTAATACAGATTACGATCTGGGGAGAAACAACATTGAATATCAGCTACGATACCTGTTCTATGAGATTCCTCCTGCCTGTTAATTAACCAATTGACATGAAAGCTAAAAGCCTCCATACCGCCTTCAAGGTCTCTCGGCTCTCAGCCTAGATCTCAATGTAAAGTTATAAATGAATGAGGAAGATACCGTATTAATCAGTGCCCCAACGAAATATGCAAGTCGAGCTCCCACAGCAAATAATGGCGATAAGCCCTCGGTGGGACTTTCACTATCTCCATCTAGTTCTGAGTGTTGTGCAAGCACGTCATATGCAACACCAATTCGTCAGAGCTTTCGAGGCTATATGTTCTTCACTTGGCGTAAACTGTCGGAACAGATTCACCAAGCTTTTTGGTTTTCAATTTTCAATAAACGGCATCCTCGTGTTCGACTTCAAACCATGGCTCCCAGATATTCCAGTGTCGCAGTAATCGGTGCTGGGCCTTCTGGCATCTCCGCTGTGAAAGCCTTGAGTGAAGAGAATGTCTTCGAAAGAATCCAATTGTTCGACAGAAGAGAAGGCATCGGTGGCACATGGTATGCAATCTACATCATAAAATACTTGAACTCGATTTGACATATGCCTCCAGGATCTACGATGAGCAGCCAGAACCTTTTTCGCCATCTTCGGCGCAACCTGTGCGAGAGATTCCAGCCAAGCTACCACAGTCACTGCCACCAGCATCTGAAAATGTCACAGCTCGGACAGGTCTCTATTCCGCCTTGGACAGCAATGTCGGCTCCCAAGTGATGGCGTTCACCTACAAGCCGTTTCCGGATGTGAACTCGGCCTCTTCCATCAACCGCTTTGGCAAGAGGAACCCGACGCATCCCTACGCGCAAGTCGCTGGCTACCTCGAGGAGATTGCAGAGCCGTTTTCGCACTTGTTCACTTTCAATACGCATGTGGAGCGTGTAGAGAAAGTGGGCAAGAAATGGCAATTGACTCTCAGGAAAACTCAACATTATCTGAAGAACCAGAAGAGAGATTACTGGTGGCAAGACACATTCGATGCTGTTGTTGTGGCCACCGGGCACTACGGTGTACCATTCGTTCCGAATATTGACGGTCTTAAAGAGACTTTTGCTGTGTTGCCTCAAAGGTTTGAGCACTCGAAGGCTTACAGGTCTCCTGAGGACTACGTTGGCAAGGTATCTACTTACTTCTATCCTTATCCGTCAATGAGATGAATGAACATGACTAACGCGAGGGTTTAGAAAGTCGTTGTCGTCGGCGGCAACGTTTCTGCATCTGACACAGTCTCAGAAATTCACAGCATCGTGTCTGGGCCCCTTTATGTCTCACAGCGAGGCTCTAATGAAATTCTTCAGGATGCATGGGAACTACCCAACGTCGTTCTCAAGCCGCAAATCACACGAGTATCCGTTGGATCTGAAAACACCGTCAAAGTCAAATTCTCGGACGGCAGTGAAGTCGACGGTATCGAGAAAGTTCACTTCGGCACCGGCTATCGACTTTCCTACCCTTTCCTGCGTCCCGATCCCGTGACGCCAAGTGGGCGCCTCTCAGGATTTTACCAACACGTCTTTAACATCGCGGATCCGTCACTCACAGTCGTTGGACAGGTCAAGGCGGCCATCTCGTTCCGTGTCTACGAGTACCAGGCCGTTGCCGTGGCTCGCTATTTCGCGAACCGAGGAGGCGGTCTGCCTTCTCCACGAGAGCAGGACGAGTGGGAAGTGAAGCGACTGCAGTACAAGGGGCCGACGTCCCAGTTCCACGAAATCAAGCCCGACTTTTCAGAATATTTCGAGTTTTTGCGAGGTGTTGCCGGACCTCCTGAACCGGGCACGGATGCTTATGAGTTGCCTGCGTGGGAAGATGATTGGGCGTTGTTGGGCTTCGGCGTTTTGGCACTGAAGCAAAAGTGGTGGAAGGAGTTGAAGAGGAAGGAAGAGGAGGCAAAGAGAATCCAGTCCAAGTTGTAGGCTCGATGCACATTGAACGTAGGAGCACACAGGACCATGTTGCTTCGGCTTCGAGTGGATTTTAATCACTAGACTCTTGTGTTAGAATAACAGAAGAAATTTCCCTTGCTTTGACAAGCTTTGTTCCGCTCATAAGCGCAACTTTCTAACCAGATGCTTTCCCATCTTTTCTCATTGCCAAGACGCCAGTTCCTACGCGAGATCTATAGGCGATTTTGCGTGTTATTCCCAGCCAAATTCGCGATAGACCTACCCATTGCGGTTAATTTTCCGACGGAGTTCGACCGAGGGGTAGGAACCCACGCGGAGTTTAGTGGACCTCGATGATCAACTGCCGAATGAGCTGCACGATTGTCATTTGAACGGTGGGTTCAACGTTGCACTAGCATATTCGTCATTCATGTAGAGAATGAGGAGTTCATCCTATGAAAAAAATTGGAGGGACTTTTGAACATGAGATGGCTAGAACATCGTCAAAGTGGCGATGGTAGCCGAGGCTACGAGCTATCATATAAGTCAACGATGGTTCTAAGCAACGTATGTGAATGAAGTTCGTCAACCTCGAGTCCAAGAAACCGTGAAGATGGCCGAAGAATCACCCAAGTCCGTGTCGTCGGACGTCCACGATGCGGCCTCTGACCCACCGGTGAAGCGAGTGTGGTACCACAGCACCTTGTTCAATGCCTTCGTGATCGGAGGAGTTGGTATGTAGCCATGTGCACTGTCAGAGTAGCAATTACTAACATGACCCAGGCTTCATGGCCCCTGGCCTGTGGAATGCGATGAACGCCCTCGGCGCAGGTGGTGCCCAAGAACCGTTCCTCGTCAATGCCGCCAATGCGCTTGTCTTCGGACTCATGGCCTTCCTGTGCTTATTCGGTGGGCCCATCGCGAACCGCATTGGGCTCTCAAGAACGCTGTTGCTTGGAGCTGTTGGCTACCCACTTTACTCCGCTGGACTGTACACCAACAACCGTTACGGCAACGTCTGGCTCGTTCTTGTTGGAGCTGCCGCCTGCGGTATTTCTGCCGGCTTGTTCTGGGCCTCCGAGGGCGCTGTTGCTCTTGGATACCCAGAGCCGTCTAAGCGTGGCAAGTACATGAACATCTGGCTCTGGTTCAGAACCGGTGGTCCTCTTGTCGGTGGAGCCATCGTTCTGGCCCTCAACAACGATGCGGCTGCGAAGAAGAAGGGCAAGGTTGGATATCAGACCTACCTGGTCTTCGTTGCTCTACAATGTCTCAGCGTGCCCCTTGCACTCGCTCTATCTCCCCCGGAGAAGGTCCAAAGATCCGACGGTAGCAAAGTTATTATCAAAGCCGAGAAGTCGTTCAAGGCCGAGTTCAGAGAGCTGCTCCGCGTGTCGAAGCGCAAGGACATCCTGCTGCTTCTCCCCATCTTTTGGGCTGCCTACTTCAACCAGTACAGCGGAAACTTCCAAGCCTACTATTTCGGCATCCGAGCTCGCGCACTCATCGGTTTCGTCAGCAACTTCGGCACGCTTCTCTCATCGCAGCTGATTAGCACTCTCCTCGACTACAAGAAATTCAGTGTAAAGAAGCGCATCACTATTGGCTTCTACTACGTCATTGTATGGCACGTCATTGCGTGGGTTTACGGCTGGGTCATTCAAGAGAAGTACACTCGCAACCCACCTGCGTACGATTGGGAAGATAAGGGATTCACTGAGGGTTTCTTTGTGCTCTTGTTGTGGGATTTCGCCCGTCAAGCACTGCAGAGCTGGCTTTACTACCTTCTCGCTACCAAGACGGACAACATCTCGGAGCTCACTCGTTTCTCGGGTATTCTTAGAGGCCAGGAAAGCTTTTCCCAGGCTGTCTCGTTTGGCTTGAACACACAGAAGTGGAAGGGAGGTCGAGTACCACTTGCTGTCAACACTATACTCCTGGGTAAGCCATGCAGAGTCCATGATGAAGTTGAAGATGATGCTAATCGATGTAGGTTTGGCCGTTTATCCTACGTGGCTGGTGGTCAGAGACCACGTCCCAGTCGAAGAGACCGACAGACTTGCAGCTGTAGAGGAACAGTCACAAACTAGTGAACTAGCCGAGACGAGGTTGTCAGTGGATGAGAGAAAGGAATTTGCTGTGGGGCAGACGGGTATTGGGAGAGATGCGAAGATGTGATTTTGCCTTCTGGGATTTTCTGGTATCCAGAATTGATCTTTTGCAAATCATACTCATACCTTCACAAACCAATCAAGACTCAACGAGCCATGGAGTTCTCAAATTTCTTCATTTAAATGGCGGCAATGCACGTGTGGAATGAGCGCCCCAATGTTGAAACTGCGGTCGATGTTCAACTGTTTTAATTACGTCTATTTATACCCAATTGTACATCTAATTACAGTGTTACAAAGAAGATTTACATTCACTTTATTCTCACCCTCATCTTCATTACTTCGTCCCAAGCACCCACATTAACCTAGTAGTCATTCTCATGAGAAGTATAGCTTCTCTGGAAGATACATCTTGTTTACACAAAAGATTGCTCAAGAACGTGCGTAAGCCATGAGGGTGGGCTCGGCAATGAGCTTCGGGAGGTAGGCCAACAAGCGAATGCCAGCAGCAACAATCGAACCAGCAGTAGCAATGCCATCCTCGAGGTTCAGGCCAGGGGCGATGAAGTCCTTGCAAACGTCGTTGAGGTTGATGTTGCTAATCTTGGCAGGTCCTGAGCCTCTCTGAAGAACATCCTTGATCAGTGCGGCTGTCAAGGGGTTGAAGAGCATCGTCGCGTGGCCGTAGATACTGCCAGCGGGGCGGCCAGGGCAGACAGACTGGACCTCGATATTGGTGACACCGACACGGCGGGCATCGGTCAGGTAGGCGGAAGCAGCTGTGCCTTGCTGGGGCTCGACAACCTCATCGAGAATAGCACTGTAGAAAGTTGTTGTGGGAACGTAGGCGTCGGCTCCTCCACGGGAACGAAGGGTGTTAATGAAAACGGAGGTATATTGCTGTTGAATGACAGAAGGATCGCAGGGAGCGTTGAGGGCTCCGTTGCCAGGTGAAAGGCATAGAACGTTGGCAAGAACGGTTCCGTGGAAGTCGGGAGATACGGGGAAGAAGTTGGCGACAGCGTTGCGGGTAGAAGGCCAGAAGGTGAAAGCCCACTGGGTGTCTAGACCACCCTGAGACCAAGAAATGATGCTCGAGTTCTTGTTGCTGATGCCATTGATGTAGTTAATGGCATAGGCGACGTACTCAGAGTTGACCTGGGCGTCGCCAAGAAGAGCGCCCGGAATATTGAGCCAGACGGGATCTGCGTAAGGGACGTTCGTGAGAAGCTTCAACAAGTTGGGGCTAAAGGTCTCTCCTCCGTAGACACCAGTGCCGGGAATGAAAATAACAGGAGGCTTCTGGCCGTAGGTGAAAGTCTGGGGGATGTAGATGGCCTGGCGAAGCTGCTGCTCGGAGAGGGTGTATGGCGCATCCGAGGCATCTTTCTTGGGGTAGACAGACTTGGCCGGGTTGACCGGGTTGTTGTTGCTCGTCGAATCGATTCCGTTGAGAGGAGCAATCAGCTTGTTGGCATTGTTGGCCAGGTCCAAGCTACCCAGAAGGCCAGTGCCGAGAAGTCCCTGGAAGCTAGAGAGGAGGTTGTTCGGGACGAGACCTTGGCCGATTTGCTTTTGCAGCTTTCCGTAAAAGTCACCAGTGCTTCCCGTGTTCCAGATCGATCCGAGCTTCGTTTGGAGATCTCCGACGTTGAGCACTCCGGCGCCGACGCCGCTCCCGGGCTTCGTGCCAAGAACCCCGGTCAAGCTGGACACATAGTCGGTCGGAAGTGCCAGTAGCTGGGTTACTACTCCGAGACCGTCGAGAAGGCCGGCCGGGGCGGCATCAGCGGACTGCAGCAGAGCTGCGGCCAGGACGAGTTGCTGAATCTGTGAGCGCATTGTTGTAGTTATTATGTGAAGGGTTGTGAAATTAGAAATGTACTGCTAATGATTAAGTAGGAAAGAAAAGACTGAAGATTTGGGAGAGAATGAATTGGGTTGTTTTTGGAAGCTGATGACTTGGAGAGTTCAAGATCTCAATTTCGGATCAGGATCCGGAGCTACTTATATCTCAAGCAACATCGGACTCAAATGAGGTAAGAACTAGAACAAAGTGTGAAAAGTGTGCGCGCCACAACGTGTCCGAAGCTACCGGCATTGAAGGCCCTAGAGCGGATCCGTGACACTGCACCTAACGACGTGTTGAGCGGATTTAGGCAAGGTGTTGTGAGCAAGCTCTCTGGGGGGAGCTGGAGAACTTGACGATCAGCTAGCTCTGGGGGATTCTTTGTCGATCTCTCAGGTGGGGGAACGAATGGAAATGCCCAATTCTCGGTGCTATTGTATGTCTTGCTGATCTTAGAGTTCGGTAGTGCTGCTAGGATTACTGCAATAGGAATCGCAGGGTGTCTAGCGCAAGACCCAAGTTCCTCCCGTGTAATCCGTCCCAAAGTCGAACGCTCGAGTGAAATTGTCCGAACATTCTTAGCCATCATACATCCCACCCAAGACACCGTTGAAGTCTATCCCAGTCCATAATGTAGGCTGGCTTTGTTTAGGGTCTTCAATGGAAGCCCGCGGGATGCCACCTTAGCTTCACCAAAGCGCCACAACATGGCGCCAAGCGTACTGTGGTTGCTAACTTACTCGTTCCCCCGCACAAAGAATGATTCGAAGAGTCGCTGACGCTTGCAGATTGCCTCGGTATGGCTGTTAGCCTATTCTTTTGGTCTCAAAGTATAGTCTCATCATACCCTCTGAGCTTAATTCCATGCTACCGTATTCTTGCCTCAACTTCAGCTCCTTGCAAATATTGACGAGAAACAATCTCAGCATACCGAACCTATATTTGCTAATTCTTCGTATGCCGTCAACCCGGCGCTAAACCATCCGATGGCGTCCTGGCAACCGTCGGGCCAAAGTTTGCTGATAAGCACACGGTTGTAGGTAAACACGGTACACGGCCACTCTAGCGCATAGCTCGGACGACAATCATTCTCTCTACAGCTGCCCATGGCATTCTCTGTAGTAGAACGCAACATGAAGTTGACATGTATGCTCTGAGTGTCAACCTTTCGCCAAGAAGTTCTCAAGGAATACCCATTCGGGCATTGCTCGTAGTCAATGCGACGGGCCGATATCAGGTCGACGCAGAGCGCGCTCAGCGATTGTGTGAGCAGGGAATTTATGATCTCATGATCCCTTCGTATAGCACAACTTTGAGAGTCTATGCTTGGTATTGTGGCCTGATACGGATAATGCAGATCACTCTCGCACCTCTTGAGTAAGTTCTGGTCCCGTGGTTGAGTAAAAGTTATCAACGTTTGGACCTCGAAAGGCCCGATTGCCATCATGTCTTCATGTTTGCTCAACTTCAATCGTAGAGCCATTGCTCTGAGCGAATTAATTGGGACATGGGCGAGTAGAGAATACAACCTGGCAACGGAGCCTCTTATTTCCTCCGCCTTTTTCGTTCGATCTTGCTCAGCAACTGATCTGTCTTGTCCAGAGGTGCGAGGCAAGCGGCTCACTTCGGAAAGGCCTCGATCACAGGAATGCTGCGGAAAAGATGAAAGGTATCATTGTGCCTTCTTGAGATAGAAGATAGGTTTAACCAAATGCCTAAACTCCCGATTCACCCATTTTCTTCACGTGCCCCTGCTCTCTCAGGTATAGCGGTGTTTGAAGATACCGTCGAAGAAAGAGCGTCCACGGAAGAATTCACTGCATATTCCTGAGCTGTAGATGATTGCAACGTCATCGTGGAAGAAACAGATTGTGGCCTGCTCGAGTGACTGCCGTCCAGGGGCGAGAACTGCCTCGAAGACAGCGTGCTTTGGCGTCTCGACAAGACATCGGAGGTCCAAGAACGAGTGCTTGCTGCCTCCGTGTACGGTGCCGAAGGCCTTGGTGTTGACATTTGATGTTCAGCTTTTTGGACTCTCCTCTTTTCCCTTTCAGCTCCATTTTGCTCTTTCTGGAGGGCAATTATTCTTTCATTCTTGACATCATTTTCCCTATCAGCCCGCTGAAGATTAACATAGTCCTCTATCAGATGTTTTTAGTTATAGGTCAGGCCATTATGGTGGGGGAGAAGACTTACCTTTGGCCAAGTGGGTGTTCCTTATAGGTAGAACCGGCTTCAGAAGCTCATCCATACTTTCCAAAATGTACTTGATGCCAGGAATAACATCACATGGAAGATCACTGTGTCCCAGAAAGCACGAGACTTTGCTGAGTGTTTTATTCTTAGAATAACAATACCAAGTCAGTTGTGCCTGGCCAAGAGGTGTAAAGTGCGGTCCTCCTGCCCCAACGTAATTCCCCGCCCCTTCAACCTCATCATATGTCACATTCGTTCTATCCAGTATTCTCGTATTAATCTAATTGTTCTGTACGCCGGTGTCGAGTACGACTCTAGCTATGACATCCTCGGCCCCTTGCTTTGGTATGACGAATAGGGAAACGACTCGGTTCCGGCCAAACCCTTGAGATCTGCCTATGGTTGATTGTAGTGCTGCGGGAAGCTCGTTAAAAGTTCGGTCTGAAGCATCTCCGCCTACAGATAATGAGCTAATTTTCTCCAGCTTGTAGCCGATTCCGGCCAACGCCTACTAAATAACATTATCCGGTGTTCTCCCATCCGTTACCATATGTGACTTGTATAGTGATAGAGCTTGGTCAATCTCTGCTACCGCTTGTTGTGTTTTGTTGCTCTCCGCCTCTCGGTCCAAATGGAGTTGTTCGGATCTGACGACAAGTCTCTCAATACGCCGCAATATGAGGCTATGACGGTTAGTCACTCGTAAGATTTTCAGAGCCTGAGTTTCGACCAACCTTTGTTCAATATCCCTGAGTCGCTGCATTACCGTTTCGGGCGTTCCAGCCACGTGGTTGAAATAAGTTTTCCGCAATTTGTTGTCACTCGGATAAATGAGACTTTTCTTCAGTTCGGCCAGGTGAAATTCCCCAATCAGTCCGAGTGTATGAGCGGCCGGCTCGGCCCTTGTGCGATAAGAGAGATCCTCCGGGTCAAGGCCTAGATACATGATACATGACCTTGAACATCGTCATCGAGGCAGCCAATCGCCGAAGACTCTCTTCGGCGTCCAGGTTTTCGAAATAGCGACTCAATGCTATTCGCAAAGCATTTTGAGCCTTAAAAGAGAGAATATGACCCCATAGATCGACGCGGTCAAACCCAAGGGGTCTGGCTTATTGAAAGGTAAAGGGCAACAGCACTAGGAGATCTTGCAAGTTGCGCTCACGATGAGAACGCCTTTGCTTGGAACAGGATCAGGCTGTAATTTCGTCTTCAGTCTGAACCCCGAGATCTTGAACAGCAGCTCGAAGGTATCAGAGAAGAGGACAAAAATTCTACAGCTCCCATACGGCGGGAATACGAATCTAGTCTCCGGGTAATGAAGCAATATACAGATGATCTAGACTCAATACAGTACGCAATTCTGCTCAAGATTGGGCAGAAACTAGAAGAATAACGTGGGACTTCTTCACTTCTTTGCATGATCTCAACTTCAAAACGATTCCAGATCAAGCGATTCGGCATGACTCATCTCGACGCAAGTTGCCTCGGCCATCTGACAAAGAATGGGAGCTTCTCGCAACGTGGCTGCGCAAGCTCAAAGGGGGGAATGGGTTTCTTGACATGACAGGCATAGAAGCAATGACTTGGAATTTGGCCAGCCAAGACGCTACCTTCAATATTGGGGAGTTAGCGGTCGAAACGCACAGGTTTACTCTATTCATGAACGGCAAAGTCGTTAACCTGTATCACAGAGTGATTGGACAACACAGGACGGCTAGCACCCGGTTTACACAAACCTCCCTCTGTACTCACAACGAGAAAAAGATCTCGCGCTTCAGTGACATCATTCTTGCAACTCTGTCCGCTGCACTGCCAACTCTTGCAATCCTCGTCTTGTACTTCGTGCAGAACATGTTGCATAGTATAGGACTTGTCATTATCCTTACCATGATTTTCTCATTCCTGTTTGCACTACTTACTAGGGCAAAGATGGCTGAAATCTTCGCGGCAGCGGCTGCCTTTGGGCTGTGGAGGTGTCTACATTGGCAGCGTGGCTTCTAACGACCTAGTCTGTGTATGCTCATCATCTCAGTCCTAGGATGTCCATCCGGCTGCGGGTATTAGAGATCGAAGTGATAGATTCGAGGAAGTTCATCCTCTGTCTTTACAGCAGTGAACCCTCTATTTCTCGTATGCCGTTGGAATCTTTGTGTGATTATCTGGTATTTTTCTATCAGGCATAGTGCTGTGTGTGTCAAAGTTGAATCTTCGCTGTGGGGAACTGGTGCAAAATGTGTCCTACCGAATACGGGACATTAAATGGTGTCATAATATCACGGTTCTTCCAGAGGTATACAGGCAAATCCCTAGATGACTTAGTAAGGCTCATCGGCGACTCGACACTTCTGGCCTTGTAAGGAAACTTTAGACTTTAGGAACGCGATGGCACTCTTCAATAATTTCATGCGTATTGTTGGGGGCGGTTCATCGAGGGGTTCATTCGTGTTTGGGGAGTTTTTGCCTCCCCGCGGCATCCACGCTCCCCCTCGCGATCTGTTGAACTTCAAACAACCTGTATTGTGGGCAGATAATCTCTATCGAGAACCCTGACCCGGATCACAACTATGCGTAATTATAGGATACGCAGTCTCGCGTTCGAAGTGTCTGATTCGCATATCACCCACGGGGTGGTACTGCCATACCTGCTATAACTGCTGCGCGCTTCATCTTGACTCTCACTGCTATTAATACTTTATGTAGAGAGCCTTCGTAGCTGCATCTCGACATCTCACGTAAATGAAAGTTAAGAAGTTAAATTATTCATCTCGGCCAAATTTTTAACTCAATCAAGCCATTTACCAACATGACCATCCACCTCAGGTGAGAGTTCTCACAGAGTTCCATGGTACGGTGTCCCCCGGTTACTATACCTCTCGAGAGGGTAGAATTCTTCATCCAACATCATGTCGATCAAGCGCAGATGTAACTGCAGAGGAGGATTTACCGGCAGCGATACCGAGCAGAAGGACCATGATCACCCACTAATGACCGATCAGCAAGATAAGCACTTGGTGCAGCAGATCACAAAGCCCAATATCATGCCGCCCCAGATTCCTCAACATTCTCGAAGCGACCAATCGACAAGAATAGCGCATCATCCCATCTTTCCTCGAAACGGCCCCCAGAAGCGACACACTCTCCACACAGACTCGCACAGGCACGGGCAAGAGACAAACTTGCAGAAAATCTCCATCAGCACGTAATTCCCCAAAAGGGCCCCCGTTTACCGCCGTGCACATCAGCGTCATAGTATGTGGGCGGTCCCTATAACGTCTGAAGCAAGAAACTTAAGATCAGCCCCCAGACTTCCCATCTTGCGCCCGCCGCAGTGGAAACACGGCACAGACACACGAGCAATCATCGGTAATTTATGTTCCCAAGTAAGCGATGTTCCGGCAGTCAGTGGTCCGTCGTGAGCACACGCTTCTGCTTACTAGTTACGCGAGCCGATGACAGAACCGCATCTCCGCTTTCTTCTCAAAGGCCCCGGTGCGGTGGTGGGTTGACCCCGGGACCGGTGGGGCCGGGGATGTTCATTGTCTAGGGGGCGCAGTCCTCCCGCACTCCGTTCTCGCCCGGCTTCCCCTGGCTGACTGAGTGCCTTTTCCAGTGTACTTCACCCTCAAGGTCCTCGCATTTGCGGCTTTTATTCATGGGCTCGCAGATCCGTATCATATAATGTTCCATATAACCTATACTCAACCGTCTACTATGGCGTCTTGTGTCGAACCGAAAGAATCCGATCATCAATGCAAATTCTTTTTCGTTCTCTTTCCGAGTCCGATTTCTTCGGACTACCTATGTGATGCGTGTGATGTGTGGCTGGATACTGAATGCAACCATCGTTGGTGCCGAATTCTTTGGATATCTGGTTCTGTCCAAAAGTTACATTGGCGAGCGTGTGTCTGGTTAATATACACTTTGCCACTCGTCTCGTCCCTCGTCCCCTTTCGCACCTTCACCCCAAGGCACCACCCGAACTCCAAGACATGTCAAGAGAGACGCGCCAAGTCAAACTTTCAACGGCTTTTCTTTGGACCTCCAAGCCCAGTGAAGCTGCTGATTTAAAGTAGATCAACATGGTCGATAAGCCGGCCAGATACAATTATTCCAACATCGCCAAATCAAAATGTGTACACTGAGCCTGCAACAGACACACCAATCAGAAAGGCAACAAATGTGCCGTACAAATCGACTCCATCGCTCTTATGCCATCGACAATCATACCTCATGAGACGTCGCGGCAAACTCTATGCCCTCTAACCCCCTGCATCCCTGTCCGGTCCCTCACATAGCGCAGACAGGGCCGTCGGCAACGAAATCCCCTCCTCGATCACTCTCTCGAGTCTCATCGAGGTCCCTGCGTCTATTCCGCCCACTCACACACGACAAACACCCTTTCAGGATACCATCCTAGACTCTGTCTTGTACGAGCAACAAGGCCTCTGATCTATAATGCGCGCCACGGCTATGACATCAAAATCTTCCATGCTCCCTCTTTTCGCTGCTGCGCATTTCCTCTCGATCATTTACCCGCTCCCAGCATGGAAGATGGCGAATGATCGACGTAGCCGGGCCTGGTAAGAAGACAAGACCAAGGCAGTCCTTCCTTGCCTTCCCCGCGTCAAATTCGCAGAGTAGCGGCCAAGGCAACGAAGACGAAGGAAAGACGATTGAACGATACTCTGACCTTGCAGAAAACCTAACCAGCACTACGCGTGGGATCCAAGGCCAGCCGCACTGTACCCGTCCCTCTCCGGCTCTTCCCCCTCCAACGTCACATCGAAGCACGACGAGAGAGCCGCAGAGCGCTCCCCTGCCGATCATTACCCTACCATGAAGCAACGGCTGGAGACGTCCCCGATCCCCTCAAGCCCCTCAGCCCTCAAGTGTGCCCCTGCACTCCTCGGGGGTCGACATCCACTTACAGTACCACCCACCAGCAAGGCCGTAGGGCGCTGCACGTGTTGGTGGCCGGATCGAGAAGGCCGGTAAACCACGTTCTTCCCCCTCTTCCCCCCTTCCAGTCTCTGGCGGGCCTTTCACGACAAAATACAATACCGTTTGGGTGGTCGCTGATCCGTTCGGATGCGCTTCCGACCGTGACAGGTTCCGGAGTGCTGGTAGCACCCTTCCCTTCCTCTCCGTACCACCATACCTCGTTAGCGTCTTCTACGTGTCTGCTGATCTCGTACTGCTTCGTGATGGTGAAGATGTCGTGATGTTTGCTGTCAACCAATAGGCCCTAGTGCCCATCATCGTTGTTTCCCACGCTAGCATCGTTGTTCCCCGTCCGAGCTCTTGTTTTCTCAACCCAACCGCCAGACTTGTAGATCACAGATAGATGAGGGATAAGCTTAAGTCACGTCAGATCAAGATTTGACTGAGTAGATAGTTTCAAATTGTCACCTGTTTGTCACAAAGGCTGAAGACATTCAAGAAGGGATGGCGTCTAAAGTTCATAAAAGTTGATTTCTCATGAGCCATAAACTTGAAAGAAAAGGGGGTGTAAGAAAAGAAACCACCCCGCTATCGAAAAGTGACAAGGTATCACACACCACCATACACCATTCCGTCCCTCTTCATCTTTTTTTATACAAATGCCATCTCAGTATGGTTTGCCTCGTGCCAAACCTCCATCTTCAACATCGTCGCCATCTCCAGAGACCACCGGGCTACGGCAGCTCATACAGACTCTTCTTCCTCCCCTGCGGCTCCGCCACCACAATCGCTTCCTTGCCATCAATCTCCGCCATCTGATAATTCCCGCCCAACCCGCCGGGACTCCCATCCCACTCACTACTCGCCTTCCTCACGGTCATCATCCCAGGCGTCGCCGACATGGTATACGTTCCCGTCCCCATGGAGCTGATCGTCCCCGTGCCCCCGTTTTGGTTCATATTGTGAATATTCATCCCCCCGTACGCGATCCGCCCGGTATGTCCGGTATTCGACCTCGAAAGATCGCTCGCCCCGCTGCTGCCGCCGTACCCACCATTGATACTCGACCCATCAAGCTCCACGGGTCCCTGGCGAGACCTCTCCTTGCGTAGGTACCACATCACGCCCACCGCCACGAGCAGCGCACCACCCATACTCGCGCCGACACCCAGTCCCACGACAGCCACGTTCCCGATACCCTTCTGCCCGCCATCTCCACTGCTTCCGGTATTCGTATCCGCCGTCGGCTGACTGGCCTCTGCGCCGCCAGGCGTGGCGGGGATCTTGCTCGTCATCGTCGGCACGGCCGTCATCTCAGGCGTCTGCTGCGAGGGGTAATTGCTTCCGCCCGTGACGCCGGCGCGGCCCGACCCCGAGGGCGTGGGCGTGGATTTGGCGCCCGTGTTAAGGGTCTGCACGGCGACGGCATTGCCGGGTGTTGCGGCGATGAGGGGCCCGAAGATGGCGGGCGGCGTGGAACAGCATCTCGTCTTCTCGGCGGCGGATTCGCAGCAGAACTTGCCCGGTACGCCGAAGCCTTGGCTGTCGCATTGCCATACCTGGACACCGTTGAATCTGAAGTCGTATGCCCCGTTGTTCTTTCTTGTGTCGGGGTCTGTTGTCCTCATGTTAGTACTCCTGTTCCTTCCTGAATCCAAACACCCCTCCATCTCAGGTTCGCCAGTCTCGGTCCATGATCTCCCATGACCGACTATTCTCCTGTGTCCTCGGAAAGGATTCGTCAAAGACTTACTCAACACGCAATGCTGCGGGCAAATTGGACTCTGCCACGTCGGATCTGAACACGTCCCTCTCGCATACGCAATACCCGTGTTATTCGACGTATCCTCAAGCTTGCACAACCCGTTGCTCAAACACGCATTTACGCTCCCGCAGCACATGCTGACCTCGGCCTTGGGATCGCACGGGACGTCCAGACTCTGCACGCCGCCGGGGAAGAAGCACAGGTTCGCCGCGGCCCGGGCGCATGTTACGAAGCCGCTGCTGCTGAGCAGCGTGAGCAGCACCACCTTTGTTGTCGTCGACTTCATGGTTGATGTCGTTTAAATGAATCTGAGCCCGGTAAGAGAGGCCGGGAGAGTTGACTAGGCCAGGGGATTCTGTTTTGCCCAAATACACTTGGCCCAGCGAATAACAGTTCCGAAGAGGGTAACCCGACCAAGATCGATGCCGAAGACAAGAAGATGTGTAGTCGAGAGAACCAGCCTCTATTGTTGCCAAACAGTCGTAAACAGTCGTTCAAAAGAGCCGCAAACGTATCGATCGTACAAGGCGGGGATGCTCGATGACGAAAGGAACGACGAGTCTGAGGCTCCGGCCCCCAAAAGGCTGGAATGTTTGTTCGGGGAAAGGAGGTCGGAAAGGGAAGAGAAAGCCCGACGGCGAGAAGGATAGGTAGAGGGAGTGATTATGAGATGGAGGTGGTGGTATGTGTAGAAGAGGGGTGGGGTGGGCGATGTGAGAGGAGGAGTAATAAGATGTTCTGCCAGGTAATAGCTGGGCTATGGGTGGTGGTGTGCCAACGTGTTTGAGGTAAGGCGACAACCTTCGCTCTTTCTCTTCCAAGGGATTTCGAAACAGGAACCAACTTCGAGAAGACAGAAAGACCAGACGGACCAGACCAGTAGCAGAGAAGGGCAAAGATAAGTAGAAGGCTCCTTGATCCTCCCCCGTAGGATTAAGATTACCTCCACGACAAGGCGTAGTAGCTGAACAAGAAGAAGAACGAGCTAAAAATGAGTGGAAGGGGGTTTGGTTCTTTCTGCTCGGGTTTCGTAGAGATGGATAGGGAGAGAAAACGTAATCAACACGTTCTCATCTTCAAAGGAGGGAGGAGAAAAGCAGGAAGCAGGAAGCAGGAAGCAAACAAAAAAGGAGCGAGAAGAAGTTGCAAAGAAAGTCCGAAAACCTTCTTTCCAAACGAACGAGAAAAGGGCGGCACTGCCAGACCTTAAGAGAAGTCACATATCCCAAACTCCTCTTCACGGCAGCCTGGATCCGTGCTTCCTCTCTCTCTCTCCACCACATCTGCCCCATATCCAGAGTTCGCCTCTTGGATCGGTCTCGTGAAGAAAAGCTGCCCAGGAGGAGGGAATTATGAGGGGGGGGAAGAAAGGTCCCGTTCTCCACGAACATCTCGCCGGCAGCACGCCGACCCGGGGGGGTCATGCTACCATGCCACTTAACAACTCTTCACGGATACTATATAATGTGTAGGTAAGCCAGCCCAGCCGCAGCCGCAGCCGCACCCGGACAAGACCATACAGAACACATACAAGAGATGGTGGATCCCATCCTCCAAGAGCCAAGCCGTACTGCTTGTCCTGCAGCGCCCAGCGTCCCAACTTTGAGGGAGAGACCGGGGTGGAGGGGGCAGACCATTGACTCGATTGACTCGTCCCAAGAAGAGGCCCCCCCCAGACTTGGCCTGAAGAAGACCCGGAAGAACATGGTCTGCCTGTGTCTGTCCGTACATCTTGGGAACAGAACCAGTCAGACTTGAAAGAAGAGGGAAAAGGATGTAGGGATCATGGTGTCAGCGACGGCTAACGCCGTAGCGCCATCTGTGGGTACTAACAACCCAGGTCCACGGCCTAGTTTCTGCCCAGCAAGGCCAGCCATCGTCAATGCCGTTCCAGCTCCTTCAGCAGCTTTCCCACCTTCTTCGCTCTCTCGCACCAGTGAGTGTATCTGTAATTGTGGCATTTTTTTTTTCAGGGTCCATGACTCGCCGCAGGGTTTCCTGGCTGCCCAGCACCGCAGCATCCGCCCCACGCGCGCGTCTGGTTTCAGGTTATCTGCCGCTGCGACCTTCTCTCCAAGAAACTCAAGACTCAAGACTCGAGAGTCCCCCAAAGGTTGCCAACACAAGGCCGGCCGAAGCCGGCTGCAGGAACCTGCTTTTCTCCCATAAGCTACGGATGTCCATCCGTACGGAGTGCAGAAAGATCATACCTCGATGGATCCCGTTGTAAACTTCGTGCTGCCTTGGTCCGGATTCATCCCTCTAACAAGGATTCCACGGGCCTTCAAAGACACACAGACAACGTCAAACATCACACCCAGAATCCCGCCATCGGAAACCTCAAAAGACTCATATTCCTCGTTCCCCCCTCACGCACTTTTTTATCCCCATTCGATCGATTCGTACGGCCTGCCAAGCATTTCTCCAGGCCCCTCCATCCTCTTCAGCCGCGCCGGACATGGGTCCGTCGTAGATAGAGTCATGGTTCAACACCACCACACACATACGGCGCCTTGGCGTCCGTATACCATATAAACTCCACGGTCGATCCACCAGTCTTTCCTTTCTCCTCCCCCTCCCCCAGCCGAACGCTCTACGAATGTTCAGGAGAGCCGGGGCAGGCCCCGAGAAAGAGCGAGACTTTCTCCCAAGGCCTTGCCTTGTCTCTGCAGCGGCAAAGCCAAGGCTCGCTCGCTTACAGTAAAGTATTGACTCTCGGCAACATCTAACCAGACACGGGAACAGCCACTGCCACTGGGCAGAAAAGAATTAACCCCCCCATACGGCTTAGTGCACCAAAGCCTCCCTCTTCAGCCTTGCATCGGTTTCTCCGGGGGTGTGGTGGCCCGGTAGTCTCAGAGAAAGAGCACGCACTCTATTCTTGGTAAATGCTGGGTATAATACATGAGGAACTGTAGAAAAGGGAAAAACAGAAAGGAAAAAGGCGTCTTGTGAACCACTCCTGCGTCCCCTTCCCTGCCCATCCCATCCTCTATTCCTCAAACCCTGGATCCGCCACCCGGTGTTTACTTCCCAGTTCCGAGTCAAGAGACGAGAAGGGGAACGGGCCAAGTGTGTGTATGTGTATGTGTATGTGTCCTATCCGTCATGTCATATCCGTCGTCTTGTCATCTTTGTCGTTTCCAGCATTCCATCAACCCCGATTTCCCTTCCTTTGGCCCTTTGCATCGTACGTAATAAGCCTCTTCGTTTTCGCATTGGGGCGATAGATATCCTCCAGAACCCCGTGTATTGTCGTGTCATCAACGGGGCAGCTCGTTCCCATCTTCCATCCCACCTCGCCGGTCAGCCGGCGACGACTCGCGAGCATCCGAGCATGTGCTCGTCGGGTGCCCCACCAAGCATTACCCCTGTCTGTCGTTCCGCCTCACACACAGCCGCCTGGACCATCAGACGGTTCACGCCGCAACATCCTCCTCGTCGAGGGGTTCAACCCTGACGAGAATTTCCTCCAACAGCCCCTCCAGGAAGGTGCCAACGTCCCTGCCCATACCCACGGGCTCCGCCTTGTCGTAGTGGTCAATCTCTTTACACACATGAGCGAGCTTATATACGAGCTTTCGCAGCTTCTCGTGAGCCGCCTCCGCTCGTTGTTGCTTTGGGGTCACCTGGTTCATGGCCACGAGGCTAGACGAACCCTGTTGAGGTCGGAATGCCTGTTGCAGCCTAATTTGTCTCCTCTTTAGCGCCTCCTCGAGTGCAGGGAAAATGACATCGTTCAAGGCGTCCAACTCCCCGTTGGGGTTAGACGGCGCGGGCGGGGGAAATGATGAAGGAGCCGCGGGTTCAGGAGTAGGTATCTGCGTCTTTGAGGGCAGCGCGTATGCCTTTGGTGGTGGAGGCGGCGCCGCCTGGCCAGACGGTTGACGATGTTGCCCATTCGGAGATTGGCTCGGTATCCTGACCGGCGTTTGTTGCGCCTGCGGGCTGCCGCGGTATGGTGGGATTTCTGGAAGAGTAATCGGCGCAAACTTGTTGTTTGGCCGAGGCCCATGGAGAGGGGGTCGCGGGGGTGTAGCATCATCGAGGTGTTGCAAGTCGGCGGGCTGAATCACAGGGCCTAGACTCATCAAGCCCATGTCCTTCTGCAACTGAACCTGCAATTCTCGGTCGTAGTCCGGAGATTGACTGACCGGGACGGCAGGAGGAATCAATCGAGAGACGGGTCGCGGTGTCTCTGGACCCCCTCCTCCTCCTCTTTGCAACTTCTCAGGTGACATTGGAAGAGGCACCTTGGCCGGCGACTGGAGCGCAGGCGCAACTGACGGCACTGGTTTCCGTTGCGGCGATGCCTGTCGAGAGGTCCCCGTGTTGGCACTGGCCGCCTTGAGGGTATCAGAGGCGATGGCGAGGTCTCGGCCAAAGTCGCGAATCTTGGTCGGACTGCTGTCTCTCGAACGCTCTCCGTAATCATCTATGCTTTCCGTAGATCTCGCAGCTCTGGCGTTGGTGGCAGACTCGTCCAGGGCACCAAGTCCGGGACGGGGAACGACGCCGCCACGATCACCTACGAGCCTCACTGTGCCGAAATCCCACATGTCCTCGTCGACCTGCCGGCGCTCGTAGTATTCTTCACCCCCTTGGTCACTCTCGTCATCGTCGCCCTTGTGCGTCGCAGCCCACCGGCTGTGGCGCTCGATAAGCTCGGTCAGGTAGCTCGTCTTCTTTGCGCGGCGTATAAACGGATGCTTGAGCAGGTCCTTGGCCGTAGGTCGGTCCTTGGGGTCCCTCTGCAAACACACCTCGATGAAATCTTTGAATGCTTTTGTAAAATTTCCTTCCAGCCGTGGTGGGGGGTTCTTGGGGATTAGAAATAACACCTTCATGGGGTGGATATCAGCATACGGTGGCTCGCCGTTGGCAAGCTCCAGCGCCGTGATACCAAGCGACCAGACGTCAGCTTTATGATCGTACCCTGACTGCTTGATGACCTCCGGGGCCATCCAGAAAGGTGTGCCGACAAAAGTATTCTTCTTCGTCATGGTAGCCGAGAGCTGCCCCGAAACGCCAAAATCTGCGAGTTTAACCTGCCCGTTGGAGCTGAGTAGTACATTGGCAGCTAAATCCGTATGTCAGCTCTAGGAAGATAGCAAATGGTGCGCATTGCAGAGTGATCCACGTACCCTTGACATCGCGGTGCAGCTTCTTATCCGTGTGCAAGTAATCGAGACCGAGTAGCAGCTCGCGAATAACAATGGCAATGTAGTCTTCGCCAATCAGACCTGGCTTCATGAGGTCTGCGCAGCTTCCGCCAGAACAAAACTCCATGACAATCCATAGCTCCGCCCCCTTCGCATACGAGCCGTAGTATTTCGTAACATAGGGGGACTGCAGTTCGGACAGGATGGCGATTTCCTGGATAATGTCTTCGACTTCGTCCTCGGCACTCTCGATATCAATAATCTTGATGGCTACGGCGTGACCGGTGCGCTTGTCGACTCTGTTTGTACGAGTTATGGTCAGTCCTCTGGTGCTTCTCGCTGGAGAGGGGAGGGGAACTCGGCGGTACTTACCCCTTGTAGACCTTGCCAAAGCTTCCTCCACCTAGACAAATCCAGTGTATTAGCAACATGCCGCACCAAGCACGGAAGCAGCGCGCATACCGATGCAGTACTCCTTGGTGTAGAGCAGCTCGGGATCAAGCGCCTCGTTGCCCTCCTCGATATCCCTATCGCGATCGCCCATGATTGCGGTCTAGCGCTGCGAAGGATGGTGGTGTGTTCCCAGCAGAGAGGAGCCGTCGTTCAATTGACGCCGCGCAACAACAGGAGGCTGATCCGTCGAGAGCTGTCGTCCGTCGCAAAGGAGAGAATCGCGGGGTTGCAAGGGGTCCGAAAGTTCGTCAGCACAGTGAGATTAGCGGTAGTTCGGCGTCGGCGCGGTGGTGGTTCGTCTCTGGTCCGATGCCTCTTGTCGTCAGGCAGAGAAATGTTCGGTTGGCGGGAAATTGAGTTCTCGGACTGGAAAGTCTCTTTTTCCCTTGGTGCTCGGGCAGCGGGCAGCGAGCAGCGGGCAGCTGGTTGAAGAGGGGATCCTGGAGTTGAGGGCGAGCGGCCTGGAGAGAGACAGAGGCGGTGGGGGACGACGGATACGGCTTGTCGTCGAGCTGAGGTAGAAGCGATTGAGGCCGGGCTAGGTGGTCACAAGTGGCCCCCGAGAAGGCTGGTTTTGAAGGCCAAAACTAAGGAGAGAAAGAAAGCGATCTGGTTCAAGGCGAGCGGTTAGCAAAAAATGTGCTAGAGACAAAGTCGGCCGGAGCCTAACGGTGATTAGTTCCCAAGGGGGCGGCGTCAATCGTACGTGGGCTTTTGTCGCGTGTCGAATGTCTCGTCTCTCCTTTTTCTTCAAGATACAGAGACAGAATGACGAGGTAAACAAGGAGAGGGGGAAACCACTACGATAGGTAGGTGAGGTAGGTGAGGATGAGGAAAAAAAAGTTCCAGAGGTGGTGGTGAGACACTGTAGCGGGCCGCTATAATTCGCGTTCCTCGCGAGTCGGTGGATTTGGTAGAGCCAAAGGAAAGGGAGAGGGAAGGAAAGACGTCAGTGCCACGGGCCACGGTACTACAGGTAGACGAAAGTCCATAGGTAGGCACAACAAACAGCAGGGGATATTCAAGAGACCTACAGATTACGGATAGAGATGGGCAATCTCAGAGTATGGCAAGGAAGAGCCGCGCAAAAAAGAAAGCGTCGTGGGGTTGCGGTTGGTACCTGTGCTTTGGTCCCAAGGGAACGACGGACGGGAATCTGATGTTTGGGCACACGAGGCAGAGTGTGGGGTAGCAAGAGACGGCACCAAGCCAGACCGAGACCAAGCAGTCAGACCCCTGGACGGTTGAAAGAGGCCACAAAGAAGAGGGCGGTGGCGTGGCTGTCTTTGCGTCGTCGTCGCTTTCCTGAATGTTGTCTTGGGATGTTGTCAATGTTTGGGCTGTGGTCTTGGTGTTGGTGCTAGTCCGGGGCTTGGACTTTCGTAGGTACCTATGTAGGTAGGTAGGTAGGTAGGTAGGTAGGCACCTTGAGATTTGGACTATTTTGGTAAGATCGACTCCCCAAATACATGTAAACGGAAATGCGACGTTCCAGCGTTAGGAAGTATTGAATCCAAGGTATTCGTAAAGCAGGTTGGAATGGCCAAAGTAAGGCAGAAACAGAATCAGGAGGTGTCTATTAGACCTCCCATCGCCCGTTGTTTATGCCATGATCTGAAAGGGTAACCGAGGGGTCGGTTCACCAGCAACCACTGCTGTTGATGTCAATTGGGTTCCAAGGTTCCCCTCATCCCACCTCAAGTATCCCCCCCCCCCCCTGCTATCGGTATGGTCCTCGGGGTGGCCCTGTCCAGTAAAAACGTCAGCGACCTCCAGCAGTCAAAACAATGGAATGCCGTAAGGTACGGAGTATCTACATACGCAATGCATTATCGCCAACGTAAGCGAGCGTGCACAGATCACATCCTGCTTATCAATTGGCACTGCACCTCACAGAATCGACCCGAACGCTGCCAACCAGACATCCATCTCCCACCTCTCATTTCACCATCTCGCCATCTCAGCTTCAACAACACCAACATCAATATAGGTACTACCTTAGCACTATACCTAACAGACGAGAGCAACCCACCACATCCAATCACCCCTCCATCCATCTCCCATGCAGTGACACGTCCCGTCCAGGAACCCGTCCGTCATCCTCCTCTGATTGGTTCCCCTCCAACCGGCGCCACCACCGATGCCCAGGTGAGCCAAGCACACTTCCCAAAGATAGATGGTTCATGCTCTAGCCTAGTGAAACACCCACATTTCTCAGCCCAAGACATCTACGGAGCACCTTTGAGCCATCTTTGTTCCTTTGGCTTCTTCTTCTGGTTGACCTTGCCGCCGATTCCGTTCAGCCCTGGGCGTGGATTTCCACTAATAATCTATCTACACTGAATACGACAGCAGAGGCTGAAGATGATTGGCATCGGATCGTTGGACGTTGATACTCTGTTCCTTTACACGCGTTAGGGACACATGCGCGTCAAGTCATTCACTGCATGCGCGTCTCAATGATTCAAATCGTATCACAACGCGACCAGCATTGCTTTCATTTCCCTGTCTATTGATGCCGTCTCTGTGTTAACAAGCGTCTACCTACGGTGGATGGCCGTCCGAATCTTCTGGCCCGCTGTTTGACTCTGTTAGGCTACCCGTGGTCCTCGATAAACTACGTCCTTCCATGCCTGCCTGCCTGCCCTCGCCGGATATCGTACCATGTATGAGAAGAACCCAAACGAACAATGTTAAAAGAAGGCTTCCTTCCGCCTGTCCAGTTCCGGTTCTATCGGCCATGCCCTGGCCCTGGCCCTGCTGAATAAATGCACCTTGCCCGTAGCCGACGTTTCCCGCCCGAATCATCAGTCGCTGAGTCGAACCCAGGCCAGCTCTAGTCCTCAATGAACTCAATCATGACGGTGCCGTTCTTGAGCCCAGCCTCCATGATAGTCGTGTCCAACCCGTCACTCAAGTCCTGGCCCTGCGGCATACGCTTCAATTCAACCTCAATCCCTTCCTTGCCCTCGAGGGGCTCGGCCTTGAGCCATTCATAGATGCGTCTGACCGGGTCCTCCAGGTTGAATCGACGGATAACACGTCCAGTAGGGTGTCGGAATTGTATCCTTGTCGTCGTTGCCGGGTTGTTCTCTGGCTCCGTGTGCGGCTTGTCACCCGCAATCCGGGCCCAGGTGCTCTGCGCCGCTGCCGGCTCAGCAGGGGGAGTAATGCCGCCTGCCGCCTCCTCGACTGGAGAAATGCCCTGGCCTCGGCCACTGGATGAGTCCGACTTGGTCAGCGCATCAGGATCGAATACGCTCGTCTTAGGCTTAGAGCTGCTGCTGCTACCGCCGTTGGACGCTGCAAGGCTGTTTTGCAATGCCATCTCCAGCATCTCATCCTCCGTCATTCGGTCGACATCGACGGTCTTGGGGCGGGGCGCTGCTTGATCCACTACGGGGTTCTTGCTGTTCGCCGCCAAGCTATAGCGGTCCAGGAATTCGGCCAGCTGCGCGTGGAAGTCAGATGCGCTGGGGAACGGTCTTCCACTCCAGACCTTGACCTGCTCTCCTGTTCTCGGATCGATGATAGCGACATGCGGGTAGTTGTCTGGGTTCTCGTGGCCGGTGCCGTGGAAGTAAAAGTTGATGTACTGCTGTGCCGCCATGGCGTCCTTGTCATACTGCAGGAAGATGAAGGCATCATCCAATAGCCTCCTGATAGCCGCATCTTTCCAAATATCCCGATTCAAGGCTTGGCAGTTGAAGTCGCTCATATCCTGGAGGTTGACCAGAATCCACTTCTTCTCGTCCTTGCCCTCCTGTCTCGCCTCGTCCCACTCCAGTCTGGACATAATGTCGTAGGGCGGCCGGAACAGCTCTGCCAGTCTCTGGGCTCGCGTGCCGCCTTCCGTTGCAGCGGGTTGGGCGGGCTGGGCGGCAGCTGGGCTGTCATCATCCCAGATGGACAGGTTATGAGCAAAGGGGTTTCCACCACCAGCTGGTGCCCAAAATATTAGCATGGCAAACCCAAAGACGTAGAAATTGCCCAATACGCACCTCGAGCTGCCCTGGCGGCTTCTCTCTGTCTCATTTGTGCCCGGATGATGGTGTCCATGTCCATACCATCGTCACCGTCGTAGCCTCCAACCAGCGTCTCGGTGGTTCTGGCGATGGGTGATCTGACATCATCCTGACCGCCGCCAATTCCAGCGCCGCCACCACCACCTCCAGGCCCACCGCCGTAAAGTTCCTCTTGTAATCTCTTGGCCATGGCGGCATCCTCTTCCTCTTGGGCGCTTCGGGCAATGGCCGCCACCTGTTCGTTTGCCGCGATCTCGGAGTCGTCGTGTCCAAAGTTATCGTCCATGTCGTCCACCGTCATGGCCGTATCGCCATCGTCATCACTATCTATGTGAATGACCCCGCGCTCGTCCTGCCGTCCAACATTTGGTCGGGTGCTCGAGGGCACTGGCGGCGCTGTCGAGGAGGTGGCGGACGGCTGGTTGAAACTACTCTGAATGTCGGGGTTCTCGAAGAAAAGCTGAATAGCCTGCTCCAGATTGTTGTTGGTCATCTCCAGGAAGCCGCGAGCGGCCTCCGGGCTAGCTGCCGTGATGGCGACGAAGTTGGAGATATCCTCGTCCATGGCGAAGGTGTGCGCTTGACTGTTAAGGTCGCTGAAAAGAGTTTGGCTTCGTGCGTGGCTTCGTGAGATGTCCTTCGGCAGTTGGTACTGACCAGCAATCAGTCGAAAGATATTCCTTTTTTTTTTCTGGTGGCGGTCAGAAGAGTGAATGAAGAAGAGTCGCTGAAGGTGGGAGACGGATGGCACCTCTGCCCCACCTTGAACCGAAGGTGCTGGAGTCTGGCACGGGGCGGAGGGGTAGCTGCAGGTCACCGTCGGGCGCGTTGGTCTTTGGGTCTAAACTGTCTGGCCCCGTCAAGTGAAGAAGTCCACGGCGGTTTCCAAACGAGCAACTTGAAAGAAAGTCGATAGCTTCAGGTTCAGCTTCTTGTTGGGAAAGGAAAGGCAAGGCTGGTTTGGTTGGTTTGCGCCGCCACTGATCTGAGGACGGGATGGTGTTGCGGGCTTGTCCCGGCGCGTGTAAAGGCAAATGAGTGCAGGCACGGGTGGAAGCGCAGGGCAGGTGCTGCTATCGGGCCAGTGCCACCCTCAAGGCGTCCAACTCTGTGACGCAACCGCCGGTCGAGCCTCGGAGCCATCCTTCCTGCTCTGGGCTGTCTCGGAGAAATGGTGGAATGTTGATGCGATGAGGTGATTTACTGCGCCACGGCCACCAAGGTGCTCAATCTCGTGTGGCTGACCTTGTGGCTTGTACTCAGCCACACACGAAGATGTTTGTCTTGAAGAGCACCTCACGCAGAGCATTGCAGCCTGCTTCTTTCTTGCTCTGACTATATGCACAGGCCCGTCTCTAGATTCATCCTGCCTTGGCCTACCATTTCTATCTACATCAAGATATGAAGATATAGCTTCTGCTTCCGGTTTTGCCATCTCAAGAAACGGATATCTGGCTGAGCGTCGCGATGTCCCGCACCCACAAATTGCAAGATGTAGGAATCTTACTACCTGCGAATAGGCCCCTGTCAAGGAGAACTATCATCTAGGCTTTCTGTGGTCTGCCGCACTATTGAAAGGTAAGTAGCTGGTGCACTCTGACATAGATCAGAGGATTCACTCAGGCTTCGAGGCAGCAGCACCGGGACTGGACAGGTATCCCTTGGCTTGCGACTCCGAGCCGGTGCCATCAATCTATACGTAACCAACCTTAGCTACACAAAGTGCGCTTCAAAATTGTCCCATTGGTTCTGCCCTCTTTCCATTATCTTTCATGTGTACATCGATGAACTGTTTCTGCGAAATCAATAGCACGTTGAGAGGAAGGCTGGCGTCATTGTAACAGTCATTCAAGTAAAGAGCAAGTTCTAATATAGGGGTATCAACACCCCGCGAGCCATATCCTGCCGCCTCGCGGCCAAAAAC